TTCTGTAGTTGGATAGCCATTCACAGTCTTTGTTTAATCCTGATCTGATGGTGTCAAATTTGCAAATGAACTGGAGCTCAGCAGTTTCTCTTTGGAGTCTGGTCCAAAAAAACTTCAGGACCAGACTCCAAAGAGAAACTGCTGAGCTCCAGTTCATTTGCAAATTTGACACCATCAGATCAAGATCCATCTAGTCAAGCATACTGTTTGATAGTGGCCAGCAACAGATGCTTCAAAGGAAGGTGCATAAACCCCACAGTAGGCAGATTTTGGGTAGTCCACCACCCATGTAGGTATCATTCTGATCTCACATAGTTAGAGACTGGCACAATATGAAATACCTTTTAGTTTTAAGAATGAGGATAGGCTGCCACTTTGTCCACAATTAGGGTAATCAATCAAGGGCTACTACAGTTTTTATGACCATTTTTAGTGCTGGTTTGGATTTCTTAGGCCCCTTGAATCACAGCAGTGAGCAGTTCTTACTGGCAAAGATTACTCCAGTTAGCAATATACAGTCCATTATATGAATAAGAAGGAAAGGTAGATAAGGAAGATAAGCAAGAATGGAAACAAACAGATAGGAGAAATAGAGAGAGCCAGGGCGCAATACTTACTGCTGACTAACTGGCCAACACTCAAAGCTGAAGAGGAGGAGGATGAGGAGGAAGAAGAGGAAGCCTGACGCACTGGGCTTTGAGACATAGATGCTTGACTGTGAGCCAAATGCAGAAGGTTGGATTGTGAGGCTGCTTGTCCCACTTGCGTCTGGGAGGGCTGATGGAGCTATATGTTAAAATGTAAGAATAAAAATTTAGAAATGTACTAGTAATCAAAGACTTTCCCAAAGAAACTATTGACTCTGAATGAGTATATAATACCATGTGCAAAGTTTAGATGACAAAGGGTTGACAGGGGCAGCTTGAGCTGCGTCAAACCACCACCCTTCCAATTTTGTTTAATATAATCAGATAATTTCTCTACTACTAAAAACTTCAGAGGTTCTTTATGTATTTTCTTTATTGAAATGAGTATCAGAGAGATTCCTGCTACATCCAGCAAGACTCTGATTTTATCAATATAAGCCCTCACCCTACAACCTGATCCATGAAAGCAAGCCCTAATTCCCTATGTAAGTCAACGTGGTTTCATGAAGGTGGAAGGGTCCTTTCAGAGTGGGACCATGGGGGCTATAAATAAAGGAATAGTCCATTTTATGACACTAACCAATGATTCAAAATTATTTGTAATGCTTTATTATTCCTTAGTCCACAAACCTGTTCTTTCTTGGTAGCACACTGTGACACTTCTGAAATCCACTCACGTACCATCAGGATTGACATTTCTCTCTCTATTTTCCAATAGATAAGATGTTCCTCAAATATGGCTAGATGCAATTCATATACAATGATACATTATGGATCTGACTCTGATATTCCACCTACTTTACAATGGTATAACCCTGTTAACTTTAGTGGATATACTTCTGATTTACAGTGGAGGAAACAAGAGGAGAATCAGACCCTTTCTCCTAATAACGAACTCTTATGCAGGCCTGAAAAGCTAAAGACCATTGTCCGGGTATGCCAGAAGAAGGTCAGGAGACCCTGGATGTCATTCAATTAGGCTGCAACTTTATTCCTAAATGTCCAGGAGTACCCGGCAGATAAAATTGTACAGTGCAGATAATTCCATAAACATTTACACCTACCCAAGAGGGGAGGGCTGCTGTCTGCCCTCCCCCTTTACCCATCCTGGTCCCTAGCCAGCTCACTGCTGGCAGGGCTGGCTCCAGGCACCAGCTTCTCAAGCAGGTGCTTGGGGCGGCCGCTCCGGAGAGGGGCGGCACGTCCAGGTATTCGGCGGCAATTCGGCTGACGGTCCCTCACTCCGCCTGGGAGTGAAGGACCTCCCGCCGAATTGCCGCCGCAGATTGCGATCGCGGCTTTTTGTTGTGTGTGTGTGTGTGTGTGTGTTTGTTTTAGCTGCTTGGGGCGGCCAAAACCCTGGAGCCGGCCCTGACTGCTGGGACCTCATCCCCACCTCAAATGAAGGTTGGGGGGGGGTTATAAAGGAGCAGGAGGGATGACTCCCTGACATACTGGTCATAAGAGCCCAGAGCCCCCCTTGTTTCCACTCCTTTAAAGAATACCTTCTTAACCAATCCATTTTATCTGATCACTGTATTCCTTCCCTATGGAGTACCTGCACTGGACATCCATCCCATGCTTAAACAGTGAGCTGCAACATCATAACCTAACTCCCATTTCTTTTTTGCCCGAACTAAACCCCCAACCTGCTGTGGAGAAGGCGAATCCTCCCCCCCGGCATGTCACCTTGGCCGACCTGGGGCTGAGGGAAAAATTCCTTCCCGTCCCTCTGAGAAAGGTGTGACTGGCATAATGCCCACAGTGGATTATGACAAAACCTGGTATTTAACTACCTCCACAGGCGGGAGGGTGTGTGCTACTCTCCCTGGTCCAGATAAAAGAGGTTTTTTCATGCACCAGCATAGACATATACAGTCCCCCCTTTCTTCTGGTCACCTGGGGGTGGGAGTGGGTGAGCACCCCCACTCTGACCTGGTATGGAACTGCCGCCGCAAATCACTCGCTAGCCCTTAAAGGGGAATACACCTTTTCCAATAAGCCAGACAGTACCCTCTCTGCTTAATGTTCAGTGAGGTCATTCTGTCCCACTGATTTTACACAAAATTCCCAACAAACTCAAGAGGAGATCTTTACCTGGAATGAAGGTGGGATATATTATCCTATAATATAAAACAGCCTTACTACAGCATAATATTATAGATTTATTAGAACCTGGCACAGCCTTATTAGACTACAGTAAAATATCATAATATATCATCTTAAGATAACAAATCCTTATTATTGCTTTATAACATATTGATTCTTTCTGAAGGCCTAAAAGACTACAAAAATGAACAAAAAGGACTCATAAGTCATGCTAATTGTTAGCCCTGTGAGTCCTCACAGTGAGGAAATAAAGAACCATTTGGTGTTGTTGAGGAGGAATGAGTTATATTTGAATTTTTAAGGTGCATAAAGAAAATTATTGTTTGATTTTACTGAACAAGTGGCTTCAGGTAAGAGGTCTCTTTGGTATCTTTAGTAGCACCCAAAATTAGGAGTACATTCCACATACACACAAAAAGACTGATGATAAACAGAGAAACAATTAAAGTACCCAGAGCAACTGATACCTGTTAGATGTATTTGATCTAATCCAAGGTGGCTTACCACCTCCTTTGGAACACATATTTGCATCTTTTTTACTTTAATGTACTTATTCCTAGAACAATTCAAAAATTGGAGGTCCGGGTGGGAATCTTTTTTTTTTAATGATTAATTTCATTTACTTGTGTAAGTCAGTCTACCAGCTCTAGTCTACTATAGTTTCCTTATGGATCAAAAAGCAAAATCATTTCACAGTCTTGAGGTTTAGTTAAACAACTGGATTTTCTCCAAAGAACTTCAAGCCCTATCAGAGTTATACTGGCCAATGATGTGATTGACACACTTGCAACTTTCAAAAATCTCAATACATCCAATACCGGTAAAGATTTTTTTTCAGTTGGGGAGGATGGGCAAAATGTCCATAGAAACCCCCCCAGCACAGCAGAACTACTGCAGTAATGCTGGGAGGTAAGGAAGGAGCTGATTGAGGGAGAATTTTGCACTCCCTGAATATGGCAGAGCTGGCCATTCCATCCCTTCTGCATAAGCCACATCAGAGCGGTGCTTTCAAGACCAGTGCCTCTGAGTGGGTGGCTTCTCTTCCAGTCCTGGCAGAAAGGCTGGAGAATTACCCCATATCATATCCATGGGTAAAGGGTAGATTCCATCCTCTCTCCCTCCCGTATAGTTTCCTGCAAACCCCCTGTTTTACTGGTGTGATGGGTGGGCTGTAAATGTCATGCTTAAAGAACAATGATGGTGTTCTATGACATGAAATTGCATTAAAGTACTCTCTCTGTTTTCATCCACTATAATTTCCATTCCAGAAATAGGACTTAAAGAGAGGTGATGATTAGATTGCGAATAAGGCAGTTTGTTTAACGCTGACTTTTCCAGATGACACAATCAATTCAAGCTAATGCAAGAGTTGACGTTTTTTCCAATTTTGGACATGTATGTAAGCCATGAGATATATTTATGACTATTCTACATTTTTCATCTAAAGACAGATGAATAGTGTATAGAAATTGCAGCAGCTGTTGCTGTATGTGTCACTCTGTGTAGGTGGATGTAGACGGCAGACAGAGAATGACTATTGTATGCAACACTGATCAGAATCTGGCAGGGATACATGTATGTGCTACAGCCACAGAAATAAGATGAACATGAAAAACGTCAAAATAGAGCATAATATTTTACAAGAATAATGACTGCATTTTCACAAAAGTGCATAAATGGAAAGAGCCAGATTTTTATCTCTCTTCCACCAATTTTACATCAATGGAGTTAGTCCTGATTTATGCCGGCATAAATGAGGACAGAATTATGTCCATAAAACTGAATTTTGCCACTCAAATGATTGTGTGTGTTATTTTGCCACATCTGGGATTGTTGGCTGTAAATATACAATAAGGCCCACAGGTGAAATTGGTGATCTTCTGACCTGCACCAGAAAGTTACAAGTCAATTGTGGAACATAAATTGCAGGACTGTGCTATGATTTTGCATAGACTATGAGAGGAAAAGAGTGAGAGAAGAGGAAATAAAGACCAAACTAGGGGAAACAGTCTGCTCCCAGACTGCACACAGAACTGAAATTGACTTTACTTGGTGTATGGACAAAGATCTAGGCAAAATATGGCCCTACAGAAAAGAGTGAAAGGAGAGGAACTCTGAGAGAAGAAGAGGAAATAGACAACCAATCAAGAAAAGAAAGGGAGGAGAAAGGCAACAAGAATGAGAAAAAGGACAGAGTAGGTGAGACTAACAGGAATGACAAGAATGGTATGAAAAATTTAAAAATAAGACTTTGGTAATAAAAATAGAGGACTGTAGTTTTTCTGATGTAAATACTATTTTTTGAGAAATATAATTAAAGCTGGTCAGAATTCTTTCCCCCCATGGAAAATTTGATAAAAATGAAAAATTATTTTTTGTCAAAGCTTTCCACAAATTGAATTTTTGTCACAAAATCAAAATATGAACTATCTTGATACTGAAATGCCACCACTATGCCTCATGGGAGTTGTAGTTTGGGTGACTGATGTTCCCATTCCCCTCCATAGGCTGTATTCCCTGATTAGATTACATATCCCATGATGCACCACAGGCTCTCCTCTTGGTGAGGGGAGATGGTACATCATGACTGTGTCATGGATATAGCACATCATGAGAGATGAAGTCAAGCTCATAGAGGCGAGTGGGAGCATAAGGCACCTGAAATACAACTTCCATGAGGCAACATAGCAACACTTCAGAATTGAAATATTTCAGTTTTCTATAGAAATATTTTGGGTTTCAGGCATCCAGTATTTTGATGAAAAATTGAAAATTTCAGTGGAAAGCACACCCTTTTTGTGAAGAATTTCATTTAGTCAAAAACCCAGTTTTCCATGGAAAAATAGTTTCAATCAAAATTTTTTGACCAGTCTTAATAAATGTCTATCCCACATTCTCCACTATTAAAGAGGTGTTCTATTTATATTTCCTTTGGGCCTCAGAACTAGTGATACTGTAATATTACTCCCTGCATAAACAGGCATGGCATTCAAAAACAATTTATTAATCTTGCAGTGCTCAGCAAAACAC